GTCCCAGGTTTGGCATAACGTTGGAGCTGTGTTTAATCAATTCCCCCAACCTGCAGCCACTGCCTTAGTCCTGTTCTGAGTGTAGTTTCTTGAACAACTACTTGACTTGTTTGAAATTGATGCATTATCTTAAATAATGTAGATTATTTATTCATGCATATTGTTGTTTCACTGCTTGTAAACTGTGTGCAAATCTGGTTGCCCCAGGACTTAATGGAGCTGCTGGATTGTAGCTTCCAACCAAAAGACGTTCAGGATCCTGAACAACTTCAGATCATTAATGCATATGCAAAATGGCATTGCCTTTAATTATAACATAGTTATAATTGTTTTCTTAACTTTTAGTTTCTCTAATTGTAGTTTGAGAGAAGTCTTGGTTTATGGAAAAGAAAATTTCAAATGTCAAGATACTCAAACTTTCTCGTTAAACTTGGTTTTATATACAGTGGTCTATATACTGAAATGGCAGAGTGGAAAACTTATTCGTGCCCCGCCATGCCTCTTGATTGTATCCATTAAAAAGCTGCTGTTAAACTGAGATCTATCTGCTCTTTAAACTGAAGAGGGGGGAAAAAAAGAAGTTTTGGGGGTTATCTCGTGTGAAGTTACAGGTCTTGTGTTGTGAAGGAAGTGTGCACATTATTTCTGATGCTTGTATAAGGTGGTGGTATTTTGGCGCTGCAGTGTTAGCTGCGGCTCAGATTCCCCCATGTATTAGGTGCTGTATACTTTTGGATAAATAATGTTGTCTTGGTGTCTTGTGAGCTATATTAAGGTTGCGAGCACTACTTACTCTACCAAGTTGGAAGTGAAATCTAGTACAAGTGGCTTGTAAACAGAAACAAAAAATTACCTTCTGTGCCCGTCTTGGAAAGGCTGTCTTATAACAAAGAAAGAAAATAATAGATGGCTAATAAATTAATGCATTTTTAATGCATTGACTATTGCAATCTCTTTTTTCATCGTATTCACTTTTCACACAAGAAGTAGGTGAGCTGCAGGAAAGCCTGAAGCTCTTACCCTTCCTCCTCTTTTTCCTTATGGTGTGTGCAAAACTGTGGCAAATGCCACTGATTGTGAACTGAGGCATGGGTATTTTTTTAAGGGAATTTTCTGGTCCTTATCGCTATCTGGGAAGAGTGGGGGGAGCTTCCAGAACTTAACTAAGTAATAAATCGATACAGTGCCGTCTTTGTGTCTGTAGACAAATCACCCTTGTGCCCGCGATGCTTCTAGACTTGCCAACCTACAGCAAAGTGAATTAGACCAGCATCTGTCAATTTTCAGAGCTAATATTGATAACTTTTCTATGGGCAGCAATTAAACTGGTTTTAAAAAAAAAAAAAAAATTAGGCCACTGTCCCATTGACCAGGAGCGGCAGGGTCATGGCTGGTTGTGGAGTGCCCCGAAGTGCCTCTTCTGTCCTTTTATGGGAGCCACCAGAAACATCCAGGCAGAAAGAATGAGCAGTTAAGTGTACATCTGTGGAGCTGGCAGCCTGTTTGCGATAGCAGGCAAACAGCTGTAGGCCAAGCGGGGGTCAGTAGCTCGCAGGGAGCCTTGATACGCAGAAATGACTGTGCAACCACTTCACTTACTACAAAAGCTGGAAGAAGCAGTGCTTTTCTTTACATCAGTGTCTGCTTCTGGTGGATGCTTGCCAGAAGTCAAAATCGTACATCCTTGGCACAGGTTAGATGAAAATAGGAGATGGCCAGACTGTCAAGCTGGTCCCTCTCTGAGGGCAAACTAAGGACGTGTAATTTAAAGTCGTTAACCTCTGAGTATATTGCGCTTGGTCTGTGCTGATTTCAAGGCATCTGTTGAGCCAAAGTTGGGGCAGGTAATTGTGCTAGCACGCTCTGCTAGAAATTGTTCTATTTTTAGTACAGATAATGTGAAGAAATGCGGTTTTTCTTTAGAAGTAGCGAAAGCATTGTATGAAGTGTTGCTCCCACATACACATGCTTCCTCCACCTACACATTTGTCTGCAAGTTGTTTGTACTTTTTTCTGGGTTTGAGCCTTTAATATTCGTAGTCTTGCAAACCTTTATTTGTATGATCTTTGATTGCTAAGTGTCGCATGCACCTCATAGGTTCATTCTATGGTCGTAATACAGTTATTCCTCAGTTTTATGTCTAAGTAGGCTTCTTCAAAAATTGCTTTGAAACTGTGTATCCTTTTTACATTTTAATCAGAACCTGTATTGCTCCCTTTTGTAATATGGCTGAACTTCATTCTGTGAGCCCAAGCTGTTTAGCAGCTTTGAAAAAAGTGGATTCACCTTTTAAAAAAAAAAAGGGGGGGGGAGGGAGCGGGAAGTAAAAGCACCCAAATGCTGCTTTCTTACATTTGGGATTAGAAACTTAAGGAAGAAAAATCTCTATTAAAATATTTTGGGCAGTAATTAAACTACTGTCTCTCAGAACTGTCAGTACTCTAGTAGTGCGTCAATGGTATAAAATGTATAAGGAGTGCTTTGCTTTACCAGCTGTTTGACTGTTAAATAATGTTGTTCGAAAGTTGCGGGTCCCTTGAGGGTAGCAGGCGGTGTATTCAAAGTGAAAGTAGGTTACTGATTTTTCAGAGTGAAGTGGATTTGATAACTCAGAATAAGCCCCTTTGTTTTTATTTGAAGTGGTACTGTGTTCATACAAAGTGGTTTATTACACAGAATACTCCTTAAATGAGCAGAGGTGAAATGATGGCTGGATATGGAAAGAGAATATTTCAACATTCAGTAAATGGGGGGGGTGGAGGTAAAGCTTCCTTTTCCTGACAAGTTTTTGCTTTTTCTGGCTATCTAGCAGCAGCATTCTGATAGCCTTCCTGATTTACTTGTACAACTTGAGAGATGCTTAATATGCTGAGGAAATAATCGCCTATCATTTTCTACATGACACAGTGATTTTCTGAGCTTCTGAATAATTCATTAAATTTTGTTAAAGGAAAAGCTAAACAGCGGATTTTGTCATGCCCACTGCTTTCTAAGGGCCTTCCTGGGTATAGGGTTGTTCATTTTGGCTTGCAATCACAGCCAGTTTATTTTGTTATTTACTAGTTTTTCCATCTGAATATGACTTGTGATCACAAGCCAATGTTAACAGCCCATCGCCACGTATTTCCTGGCCCAGCTGGGTCTTGGCACTCATCTTCCCGCCTCACCTCTGGAGCTGGGAAGGTGGGAGCTGAGACACTGCCGAGGACGGAGCGAGTATGCAGCAGCGGGAATAGACCCCACTGTTGTGGTGCTGTGAGTCTGTCTGCAGGTCAGTCTGTCAGGCATCTTCAGGGCGCTTTTTGAGTGCATTTGGAAATATTGGACAACTGTTCAAGAATCCGTTTAATTAACTTTAAGCTGGTAATCAAGATGACTGGTTATTAGTCCCTTACTTTCCCCAGCATGTCACTTCACAAAGATTGTAGGGCAAGGTTTAGGTTTTTTTATTACTCAAACCACCGAGACCATTGGTAGGTTCATCTCCTGTTCAATTAAATTCACTTCAAAGGGGGAAATTTCTGGTGGAAGAGTAAGATAGAAACTGTAATATATAAATTCTATCAAAACATGTTTGGATGGAAGTTACTGCATTTGTAGCGTGAAGAGTATTTTAACTCAGTACGATGTGGAAGGAAATTTATCATAAAAATGCATGTCTGTAATACTGCTTTAGGTTGGTTGCTTTTTATTGTTGCTCCAAGAATACTACTAATAAAAATGGCTGTATGATTCTGCAAAATCCAAGTGTTTTATACCTGTCTGCTGGACTTAGCCCAAGCTTATAGCTGCAAGGAAATTTTCAGACTCTGGCAGTAGGGATCCAGTTTTCTTCATACTTAGTTGGTCGATCGATCCATTTTCTGTTAGGGTCCTTCTCTGGCCTCTAGTCATGGGGTATCTCTTAGGCTCTGTCCCTAATTCTCTTCTTCACGCTTCAGTTGCAGGTTTAGTCCCGAGTATGCTGTTTGGTCAGGAGTTCCAATGTATTTCTGATCTGCACAGCCAAAAATCTTGGCTTGATGTTGCAATACTGTGCTACCAAAATGTAATTGTCCTGGTGAAAAACAGATGTGAGAGCCTGATTACTTGTATTCATTAGGGATCACGTGGCATTTTTTGCAAGAGGAAGTAACAGTGTCCTGGTCAAATTCCAACTTGGATAACTGCAAGTGAAATTTAGATGGGCAAATGCAATATTGTTTGGCTACTGCATTGAGGAATAAGGAGCTGGGGGAAGGGAGAATGAGACAAAAGAGTAAGGGCCTTAAATCAAGAGGCTGTATGAGGGATCTCTGAGGTGGAAACAAGCAGGGGACACGGTGTTCTTAATCTGATTTAGTGCTGCAAGTTGAAAATGTCTCCATTGAAATTCTTCATGCATATCGACATTAATGGAATGTTGTTCAGTATAATATGTCCTTTTTCTGGGTAAGGATGGGCTCCCTTGGGAGATACAGAAGGAGAAGAGGTATTTCTGTGTAGGTATGCACTTTGTTTGATGGTGAGGTATATGGGAGCAGAGCAGAGTCTTGGAGCCATCAGTGCTCCCGAGAGTCCAGGAGAAACACAGATCAGCATCTTGACCCAGCGTTGAGGCAGGTGGTGGTGATCTTTGGCGGGTGGAGAATATTAATTTTGAAATGGATAGCATGCCTTGATTTCCGTATCTTGGGAGTCTAATACCAGTTCTGATCCCCACAAAAAGTGCACATATTTGTACCTAACTGCCAGTTTTGCTTGAGACAGTGCTATAGGACAGTCCATCCCCAGCAGATACAGCTCATAGATAATATACCCTGTGCTTTACCCCAGTTGTACAAACTCAGAACAAAAGAATTTGCTGAAGATTTTAGTGATTTTTTTTTTTTAATTGACTTTGTTTTCTCTGTTGTCTTTTATAGATAAAATGTTCAACGGTTCGTTGGCAACTTTCTTCAGAAGAATAATTACTACTGCTCTGCTCTTGCCATAATACCAGAATTCTGTGACCTACACATCAGTGCTAAACACCAGCAGAGAATCATATTTTGTTCATTCTGTGTAGATGGAACAGGCATCGGTCTTGAGAGTCCATCCTGATTTAAAGCTGCTTACTTGGTTTTCTGGGATTAAAGGTGCTCAATGAATCAGGGCCCCCCAAATGAGTCAAACAGCCAATTCTTGCCAACAGTTGGTTGAAAACTGTGCCGCGCATGTAGCAGGGATGGCGCAAGAGGACAGTCGCCGTGGTCAAGTGCCACCCACGTTTTATCATGGTGCCAGCCAGGAACTTGATCTGTCCACCAAAGTATACAAGAGAGAGTCAGGAAGTCCTTACTCTGTGTTGGTGGACAGCAAAATGAGTAAACCGCATCTCCATGAAAGAGAGGAGCAGCCATATTTCAGGGAGAACAGATCGGTAGGAGAGGTCCGGGCTGTGAAAGAAGATAGAGAAAACTCTGACGACTCTGAGGAGGAAGAAGAGGAGGAAGATGAAGTGACTTACAAAAGGGAGCAGATTATAGTAGAGGTAAACCTTAACAACCAAACATTAAATGTATCAAAAGGGGAGAAGGGTGTCCCCTCCCAGTCCAAAGAGACTGCTGTTCTTAAGACCAGCAGTGAGGAAGAGGAGGGTGACAGTGGGGAAGAGGCCACTGAAGACAGTAATGATGATGAGGAAAATGAGAGGCAGAAGAAAAAAGAGAAAAGAGTGGAAAAAGTTAGTGTTGCACAAAGGAGAACAAGGAGAGCTGCATCTGCTGCAGCAGCCACAACTGTGGAGCCCCCCAAGCGTAAGAAGAAAGCTGCAAAGGAGCCCAAGGCACCTGTGCAGAAATCAAAGTGTGAAGAGAAGGAGACTTTAACCTGTGAGAAGTGCCCCAGGGTGTTTAACACACGCTGGTACCTGGAGAAGCACATGAACGTCACTCACAGGCGCATGCAGATCTGCGACAAATGTGGGAAGAAATTTGTTCTGTGGAGCCCCCCAAGCGTAAGAAGAAAGCTGCAAAGGAGCCCAAGGCACCTGTGCAGAAATCAAAGTGTGAAGAGAAGGAGACTTTAACCTGTGAGAAGTGCCCCAGGGTGTTTAACACACGCTGGTACCTGGAGAAGCACATGAACGTCACTCACAGGCGCATGCAGATCTGCGACAAATGTGGGAAGAAATTTGTTCTAGAAAGTGAGCTGTCCCTTCACCAGCAAACAGACTGTGAAAAAAATATCCAGGTAGGTTTGCTCACCTGCTTGCCAGATTTCCATACCTTCTGTCGTGCCCTGGATACAGCTAGTGGACACTTCAGAGGGGGAAATCCTTTGCGCAGACCAGGTTCTGACCGAGACCTTGTCTCTACGTATCAACGCTTTGGTGTCTTCCAAAAGAAGTAAATTGCAGGGAACAGAGTGTACAACTGACATCTGCTTTAGCAGAGTTACTCTAGTATTTAACTACGAGTTGGGGAAAACTCAAAGCTACTTTAACAAATGTCAGACTCAAGAGTAACTGGCCTGAAAACAAGTGCATTTGCAGTGAAGTACTTTGACAGGATAAACCCTCCTTCTTCAGGTGCTGAGCACCTGCAGCTATTGCTAGCTTTAAAGTTCAAAGTATTTCAGTGTCCTGAAACCAGTCACAGAGTATGTCCAGGTAAGGTTTGAAGGGAGAACGGAATTACGGCATTTCACTGGTATTGAATGAGAAATTTGTAAAATACCGGAGAGGCAAGCAGGTGAGAAAGAAACTAGTGAAGTGAGGATTTGAACTTGTGTTAAAATGTAACTTTTTTAAAATCTTACTGAGATAGTTATATACAAGTAATTTACATTAGTGTTCATGTATGCATATGGAAGTGTATGAATTCAGCAAGTAAATCTGTTCACGAGCCTGCCCTTTTCCCAGTGCAAAAAGCTCAGTAAATCTCACTGATAATATAAAGATGTCTGGTCTTTCTCACCGGAAGATTTGCAGCTTTTAATTTTATACAACAATGGAAGCCTGTGTTGTAATAGAACCATTTTAAAGTTTAAGTTGTGGAAAGAGTTTCAGACTTTCTGATTCATCTGTGGTTTGTACTTTGCTCGTAGGCATCTATGTTCTCATGTAACTGAGGGCACTGTTGTTTTATATGGCGATTCGAACGTGCTTTTTTTGCCTTGTTAAACTAGGCACAGTGTTGCCACCTACTTCTGAAATACTCCCACTGCCAGCATGAAGCAGCTTGGGTTCAATTTCTGCGGAGCTGAAATATTGAGAGTTTGTAGGGCAAAAAGTTTTTTGACTGTCCAATGAGTTTTACCAGAAAGATTTAAGATTTTTTTGTTTGTTTGTTTGCTTAAATGCTAAACTGAATTGGTATTCAATTCCCACTGTGTGGGAAACAGTTGAAATATTTATTGCAATTTCTCTTTGCTGTAAGACCCAAATGCAGCTCTATATAACACTATGCTATTTTTCCTTATGTTTCAGCTCATAGGAGGAAGACTGAAGGAAGGAGTATAAGATAAGATAATGAGCCTTGAGCATAGTTAGTAAAATGCATAAACATTTCAGTATGTCGTTGCAATTTTTGAAATAAATACTTCATACGTTTAGTGTAGCAGAGAACATTTAACAGTAAATTTAAGGAATGCCCTATCATCCAGGTGGCTCATCCACAGCATAAAATCTTTTGACTTTAAACAGGAATTCATGAATAGTTTGTGTGTGGTATAGAATGGAGAAGCATCCTGTAATCCATGCACCCATATGCTTCTGAGGGGTTACGTTCCTATGTCCAAAAGTGATAGGAAAAGAACAAATTGTAGAAATTGTGTTTTATATCCAGTACCAGAGAAGTCAGGTCCAGAAACTTTCCCAAATATATCTAGTGACAGAAGCACTGCTAGTCATCTTCAAGTTCTCAGTATAAGCATATATTCAACAATTATTTTTGTCTGTCCTGACATTTGGAATGTGTTTCACAGCTGCTTGCTAATTTGTTTTTATTGCACTTGGCAAAAGGAGTAAGGGGATATGAAAGTTTTACATTAATGTAGGGTTTAATATGTCAAGAGGGATATGGAGCCTTGTCTAGGAAAAAAAATTGTTTCATTATGTAAGCGGTAATTGAACTGATAAACATGGCTGGCTCCTCTCTATATTTTTCATCTAAGTGATGGAATATATCTGTTTTTCCAGGTAATTTCTGTTTTTCATCCTTTCAAAATTAGCACTTTCACAGAATTTCTGTGGTCATCTTAGACGCTCTGTGTAGTAGCGCTCAGTGTTAGTGATCTAAATTACTTGCTGCGGATCGTCAATTAAATTGTAGAGTGATTGCTTCAAGGGCTTGCTTAACCTTAAATCAAAGGATTTTTGATTATTTCTTAGCATTGCTTTATTGTCTAGGGTTTTTTTTCCCCCAAAGACTACAGTTTGTTCCTGACATGCCTCCAAGTAGGTACTTTTAGAGGCAGAGGCTCTCCTTGGAGTCAGCATGGTGAGTGCTGTACCAGAGTTTCCAGGCCAGCAGAGATTCAAGCACTGTGGAAGCAGTATAACTTCTCTGTGCAGAGAAGAAACTCCTCAAGTTGACAGAAGGCGTAGTATTTGCTACTTCTGCACTGAACAGCATACAATCCTTCTTACTTTGAGGGAAGGAGGATAATTGATGGGCAGAAAAATTGAGATGTACCAAAAACCCCAAACACCCCAACAACTAACAAAAAATAACAAGCCACAATTCCTTCCTCTTCACTTCAAAGATGAAAATTACTTGGTATCCTCACATATGTGTCTGCTATCAAGTTTCACAACTAAGATTATTCTGGAATTTTCAAAGTTGTACACAGATTTTTTTTTTTTATTAAGTCTTTAGCAAGAACTAACTCTATTGGGAAAAAGAGATGCATGAAAGCCGTTGGATCCTGCTCATCGCTGACTTTCTGGACATTTCACAGGAGTTGTGGGAAGAGATTAAAACACTGTTTGGATATGGTCATTTTAGACCTATAGTGCTACTGATACATATGAATGAAGAGTCAGAACACGAAAGACGGAGGTGACAACTTGCTTTGCTGTATGAACTGTGTACCAGACTCTCCGCATGGTCAAGAGCTGCAAGATGGAAGCTGTCTTCTGTGTCGAGCTAAAAGGATGAGAGAGCTTTGACTAGTTCACGGGCTGTTAGACCTGGAGTTTGAGGGGTCTCGGTGCTCCTGTGAAAGACAGGTCTGGATGTGCAGATGGGTTTAAGGCAACTTGGTGGTGTTGGCCTCCTCCACCTCTGCTGGCTTCTTCCCACACCAGGGGTTTGGATTCTTCGTGCACCAGCAGCATCAGTGCCTGTGAAGTTGTCTTCTCTGTGTTAGCTCCTTGAGGGCTGCAAACAGCTATATATGCTGTTTTGGAAATAAGTTAGTGCAGTGGCTGTGGTGCTCTTCAGGTGGCACCAAAATGCAGTGTGTTAACATCCTCTCTAATCCTGCTTGATCTGGGTTTTTTAGTGTAGTTGTTTCAAGTGTGAAACAGTACATGTAAGCTGAAGTACAGTCTGAGACAGTATACAGCATTTTGACTTGTTTTGGGCTTCTTTTTGTCATGCAAGAGGAAGATGCGTGGCTTAACTCCACAAACTTGAATCACTGAGTCTTTCTAATTTAAATTTCCTTCTATTTATCCCATTCATTCAGTGCGTTTCCTGTAATAAGTCATTCAAGAAGCTCTGGTCCCTCCATGAACATATCAAGATTGTCCACGGATATGCAGAAAAAAAATTCTCTTGTGAGATTTGCGAAAAAAAGTTCTACACCATGGCCCACGTGCGGAAACACATGGTTGGTGAGTTATTGATCGGTGCTTCTGTTGGTTCTGCCTCTTAATGTGTCTTTGTGGTTCTTAACTCGTAATTGCTGTTTTGAGGAGAAAAATAATAAGGCAAATTCAGTTGTCTGAGCTTTATCCTTAGCAAAAAGTTGAAGTCTGTAGTACTGGGCAGCAAGCAAAATATGTATGTGTGTACATATGTGTATATGCTTACAAGTTGTTCAGTAGTAATCATTTTCCTGCTCAGAGTTGGAGGAAAAAATTGGTTAAAGAACTGTTTGCATTTGAATGACCCTCTCTAATGTACTGTTGTGTTGCAGCACACACAAAGGACATGCCATTTACATGTGAAACCTGTGGAAAATCATTCAAACGCAGTATGTCTCTCAAAGTACATTCCCTACAGCATTCTGGAGAGAAACCTTTCAGATGTGAGGTGAGGCAGCAACTGGTAATATGTTTAGATACGGTAGCGTAAGGTATAAAATTAGTAATGCTATCAGTAGAGAATGTAGGTGGAAACTGAATTGACCGACGTGTAAATGAGGTGCAGTTTCATAAAAATTTGGGGGAAATTCTTCTCCATGTGGAGAGCACAGCAGCAGTGCATGCAGCAGCAGTTTAAACTGAGGCATATTTGGTTTGCTTTTACTGATGGCTGTCATGTTTTTCTCAATGAGTACACGCTACAGCAGGTTTTGAATCCTAGTTTTCTGTTGGTGTTCATAGCAAAGCCTAATGCAAATTACGTTAATCCTCCCTGTCCTACCCAGTAACTTGAAACAGATAGAAGTGGCAACAGTGAAAATAAACAAATTACTGCTTGATTTTCACTTGTGGGAAAAACTATAGTCCTCACTGCAAACTGTTACCTCCTTGAGATCTAAGAGAGTGCTCTGAATTTGCATTTCTTAAACTGAGTGTGTGTGTGTGTTGGGATAGGGGAGAGTATCTCACTGATGCATTCACGTGCGTTTGCGATTGTAAATTTTATGCCTGCCCTCAGGAAGGAGACCGTATGGGACAGACTTGCCCAGTCATATGTCTGGGGCAGATAATGTCTCGGTCATCTGATGGGGATGCTTGTTGGTATCACATGATGGAGGCAGAGGGGGTGCAGAGCCCTTCCCGTTCCCAGGGCAGGTCTGGTGGCTCACCATGTCCACAAAGTGGGCACAACTCCAGCCAGACACGTAGTAGTAATGGCGGTAGTGCAGCCAGAGTAGGGGGGGGGATAAGA